ACCTGTAATCCTGATTGGTCACTGAATTGACCCTTGGTTGGGTTGGGTTGAGTTCTTTCACTCTCGCCTGGACCCCAGCAGCGTTCTGGTGCCTCAGCCCCTCCTTACTCCTTCGTTATGGGATGAAAGATCAGACAGATTAAACACTACAAAGTCTTCCATACACAGTTTCTTTATTGGTTCACAAGGCATCCTCAAATATAACTCACGGTTAAGGTCGAGATTCATCTAATGTCCAATTCTTTGTATAGCTGACTTCATAGCGTAAAATAGTGATCTTTCATCGCATAATGAAGGAGCAAGCGGGTATGCTGCTGGGGTCCAGGCAAGAGTGAAGGAACCTCCCCCAACCCAACCAAGGGTCAATTCAGTGACCAATCAGGATTACAGGTGTGACCACATGACACGAACTACATTTCCCAGGATGCATTAATGACATTTACCATGAGGCATTCCCTTAAGGGGACAGCTCCCAATTCTAACTTAACTATCTCAATTCCCATGACTTATATATTGTCTGGACCGCACAGTGCCGCTAGAAAGCCAGTCTTCTTTGGAGGTAGGTTCTGGTTGCCCGGCAGAGGGTCTACCTCGCAGTCGGCTGTTTACAAGCTCGATCCACTCCAGTTTTATGCTGTGGTTGTTGGGAAGTGTTTTGTCTTTCTGAGTGACAATTGTGAGCCATTCTGGAGTCACAGGCCAAGAAAGGACCACCGTGTCTGCCTGCTATGAGAAGTTGGCAGCAATCCAGACTGTCTCGGTTGACTGCATCTGGTGTCCCTGTTTTTGGCAATTCATTTGTTAAGTCTTACCGGGGACTAGGTGGGTCAGCCCGGCCTTTTCCAACGATGGGTGGAGAAGTAACCCCTGGCCTTCACTGGTCTCTTTCGCTAGTCTTTCTCCAAGACTGAATTATAGTATTGCCCATGCTTTAATTGTGGGTGTAGGCCAAGGACCGTCTGTGGTGAACTTGGGTTACGCTGCCTTAAATCCGTACTTTTCGCAACACGAAAAGCTCTCTTTGAAATGAGCAAGGATCTCTCTCTTGGCTGACTTTGTGGCTCTTTACAGTCCACCAAATCATCACGATACGCAAAAAAAAAAAAAGCAAGAGGCGGCTAGACACCCTGGCTGAAAAAATCCCGTTCTTCTCATTCTTGCAGGCCAAGCATGAAGCTCGTAAAATTCAAGAAGGGAGACAGCGTTGGCTTGAGGCTGGCTGGTGGCAACGACGTTGGCATATTTGTGGCTGGTGTTTTGGAGGACAGCCCCGCTGCCAAGGAAGGCTTGGAAGAAGGCGATCAGATTCTCAGGGTAGGTGGGCAGCCCTGTTTTTATTCCAATCCAGCTGCAAGATCTGCAGCTGTTACATAGGAGGCCGTCAGAGAAATACCTGGTTGCATCTGTACAAGCAGGATTGAATTTTGGGGTCCTGGGTGCTCTCTGAGCTTGGATGATTCCTAGCAGATGTTTCATGACCAGTTACAGTAGGTAACACCAGTGCTATAAGGGAGGGGGATTTGCAGAGTGGAGGAGCTCTTTGACCTTCGGTGGTCTTTGACCTTGGTCGTTTTCTTGCCCTGATTAAGTTCCCTAGTTGGGTAATGAAACATCGGCAAGAAAATACGTTTAGAGATCACCGAGGACCTCAAAGTTCTCTTCGTCCTATGCTCCGCAAACCCCCACTCTCTTCAAGCACTGATGATGCTACCTAGTTGGGTCGTGAAACATCTGCAGCCAAGTTCAGAGAGCTCCACCCATCAGGAAATGTTGGAGATCAGCGAAGAAGTTTACCATAAGAAGGATGTGCACTGGGGAGACTATCTGCAGGTGGCTGTGAAAGGCACCGTCCAATAATAGAACATCTGGAACATGACTCAGTAGGACATAAGCTCAGCCGAGCAGTTTCAGAAAAATAGATGGCTGCCTACTTGGATTCGTTGCGTTGATGAATTTATTTTTGTAATGTTGACGTTCCTTTTGGGGCACCAGGTAAATAACGTCGACTTCACCAACATCATTCGGGAAGAGGCGGTTCTCTTCTTGCTTGACCTACCCAAAGGAGAAGAAGTCACCATTTTGGCACAGAAGAAGAAAGATGGTGAGTCAACCGTCTTTGGCGTCCTGGGTAGACTCACTGGGCAGGCGATGGAAACCTTCCTCCTCCTCCCCTCTTCTTCTATCTCCCTAACAGTTTATCGGCGCATTGTGGAATCCGACGTGGGAGATTCTTTCTACATCCGAACTCACTTTGAGTACGAGAAGGAGTCTCCTTACGGGCTCAGCTTCAACAAAGGGGAGGTCTTCCGCGTGGTGGACACGCTGTACAATGGCAAACTGGGCTCCTGGCTGGCCATCCGGATTGGCAAGAATCACAAGGAAGTGGAAAGAGGCATCATACCCAACAAAAATAGGTATGTTCACGCGTCGTTCCTCAAGCCGACCTCTGACTAGGCAGCTGAAGTTGTAGTTGGAACCCCGTTTTGTCATTCAGTTGCTTAGTTGTGTCTTGACACTTCGCAACACCGTGGACCACAACACACCAGCCACCCCACCTCCCTCCCCCCCCGGGTCGTCCACTGTCTTCCAGAGTTCTGTTCTGACCCAGGCTTCGTAAATTGTAATTATTCACAAACTTGTTTTAAAAGCAAAACCTATTTTATTGCAGTGCTGGGAACTGTTTTCATTCCCAGCCAGAACTAATTATAAACAGTTCCCCAAGATAAGCACACGCCTTTCACTGCTGTGGAATGCTGGCAAAAACAGACGCATCCAATGAACTAGAAAAGAAACCAACCAAAGTACAAGAAAAAGCAACAGAGCTTCAAGGAGGACTCGGAACCGATCGAACTGCTTTGCTTCCTGCAAAGGTTTCGTCATCTTGGCCTGTCCTTTATCCCTTATGGGAGGGGCAATCACCTCCCAACCTTACTCCTGAGTTGCCCCTTCTGATTCAGCTGCTCTCACCTTCTAGCAGCTCTGCGCACACGCACACTGGGAACAGGCTCCCCTGGGTCCTCTTCCTCGCTGCTGCCAGACTCGAGGCTCCGAAAGCAGCACCCCACTCCCCGTTGGCCCTGGCCCCATCTCTGCATCGGACGCAGGACCGAGTCTTCTCCAGACTTCCTGACTGGTCCCCGTTCTTCCCCACTGTCCGATTCCGCTGCCGTCTGCACCGGCTGCCGGCGCACCACAACAAGTTCGTCCAGATTCATGTTCCTTGCGTTGATGGCCCTATCTAACTTACCTATCCAATTTCTCCCAATTCCCATTTTCGCTTTGGTTACATTGGACTTGGGCAGCTGTCTTTCTTGAGTTCATCCTCCCCTCCCTTTGTGGGTTTCTCCACTGTTTTGTGTTCTGGTCTGTTTCACCCAGAGCTGAACAGCTGGCCAGTGTCCAGTACACCCTTCCGAAGACCGCAGGGGGGGACCGAGCGGATTTCTGGAGATTCCGAGGTCTGCGCAGCTCCAAGCGGAACCTGAGAAAAAGTAGAGAAGATCTGTCTGCCCAGCCAGTCCAGACCAAGTTTCCTGCCTACGAGAGGGTGGTCCTCCGAGAAGGTGGGTTTCAAGAAGAAACAGCCAAATAAAACGAGAGTTGGAGGGGATCCTCAAAGTCATCTAGTCCACCCCACCCCCCCGCCACCCAACCCTGGTCTCAAGCAGGAGATGGTTGCAGAATCACAGAATAGCAGAGTTTCGATCCTTTTCAGATCTTTTATTTTTCATCCCGAAAGGTTCCTAGGGATCAATTCAAACTCAGAAACTCGATCTCCAACCTTGATAGGACATCAAGGTTGTGACGTTGCATCTGTTCCTCTATTTGATGTTCTCCAAAAGCGGTTTGAGACGCCAGTTTCCTCACATTCTCAGCCGGGACACAGTCTAGGCCCCAACCTTTCTCGCAAACCAACACATCGCTCACTATTTTTCAGGAGACAACTTAAACTCTGATGTCGCTTTCTCGTTCTAGCTGGATTTCTCAGGCCGGTGACCATCTTTGGACCAATTGCCGACGTTGCGCGAGAAAAGCTGGCTCGCGAGGAGCCCGACATTTACCAGATCGCCAGTAAGCGTCCCGCTGCTTCCTTGAATCCGTTGCCGCTTTTCTCAGTCGAGCAAAAGGCTCCACTAGCTCGGAGGAGCGATAGCAATAGCCCTTAGACTTATATACCACTTCGCAGGGCTTCACGGCCCTCTCTAAGCCATTTGCCCCCCAAAATCTGGGTCCTCATTTTACCCACCTCGGAAGGATGGAAGGCTGAGTCCACCTCAAACCAGTCAGGATTGAACTGCTGGCAGTCAGCAGAGTCAGCCTGCAATACTG